CACGGGGCCGGCGAGCGCAGAGGCGCCCGGGCCACCCGCTCCACCGGCCGCCTCCACCCGACAGACCCCGGAAGCGCACGGACAGGAGCCACACACCTACCGCCTCCACATCCACTTGCCTTATTTAGTCAGGTTCCACTAAGGACACTACCACAGAGTATTCCTCCTTCCTTCATCTGAGCTTTGCTTGGAGTGAATTCTCAACGGCCGGCGAGCGCAGAGGCGCCCGGGCCACCCGCTCCACCGGCCGCCTCCACCCGACAGACCCCGGAAGCGCACGGACAGGAGCCACACACCTACCGCCTCCACATCCACTTGCCTTATTTAGTCAGGTTCCACTAAGGACACTACCACAGAGTATTCCTCCTTCCTTCATCTGAGCTTTGCTTGGAGTGAATTCTCAACGGTGAGTGAGTGTCCCCAGGGCCCTATCTGGGGGTAGTTTGGTCTTGGGGCTTTCTCTAGGGGAATGGCAGCCACATTACCGGATATTACAATTATCTTTTCCAAGGACTACTATTTGGACTTATTCAAATTATCATCTCTTTTTATCAATATCTCAAAAGCACTTCTGAACAAAGAATTTCCTACCCTAACCTCTTTATCCACTCCCGAGCTTGTTGGCACTCATTCCTAAAGATATGTGAGATCTAGAGGGAGACAAAGTAAAGAATTCTAAGTAATCTTCATATACTTTAATTCCATTCCAGAAGCAGTCACTCAGCACTAAACTGTATTCCAGGCACTGTGCTAGGCAATAAGAGTAAATGACTCACCATCTATCTCAAAAGGGGAGATAAAAGTACTGGTGCTCATAAATCATCTGAGACTAGCTGAGTCTTCTCCATCGCAGAGAACCTTATTAACAGCCTGAACCCCTTTCTCTCTTCCCCTCAAAAATCCCCTTGATTTGATAAACCAACCAAAAGATTTTTGAATGAATAGAATGAATTAATATGTTAACTGTATATTTGGAAGAATCTAGTGATATTTTTTCTTTATTATAGGTGGGGGAGGAAAATGCTGCTTTCATTATGAATCATTTAATAAAAGTAAATTATTGATTTAAGTGAGAAACCTGTTTGAATTTAGCAATCCAGGATTTTTCTACCTAACATCCTCTCAGGCTCCAAGGCTGATTAAAGGGCATATACAATTAAAGCTATTTTAACATGTAAATAGTTTTTGTCAGTTGCGGTACTTTCAAGCTTTAAATAAAAATAGTAAGGCAGGATAGATTGGGCTTTATAAATCAAGAAGCCTGTAGTTGGGAAAATGAGGAAATAAGTTTTTGAGAAGCTAAATAATCAAATGATGATATCAGATTGGTGAAAAGAATGAAGAGGGAAACGGAGTGAGTGTGCTTCCTTTTGTTAAGGAAAAACCGCTCTCGGGAAGGGTAGGGGTTTGCAGGGTACCTTCCAGGTCCAATTGTGGACACTTGACCAGTCCTATTAAAAAAAGTACTACTCAGTCATCAAGAAGGATAAACTTGACACATTCATAGGTAAATGGATGCAACTCCACACCGTAGTGTGAAGTGAAATAAATCAGACATACAAGTTTAAATATCACACTGTTTGGATAAGAAACCCAACATATAAATAACATGGAAAGCAGGATGATAGGAAGTAGGAAGATCTTTTTTTCAAGTGGGAAGAGGAAGGAAAGGAAGGGGAAAGGGTTTCAAAAAGAAATGAAAAAAAAATGGAAATAGAGCTGTTGCAAATGGGAAGGGGAACAACAGTTGGAGAAAGCAAGGATGAATGAGAGGGGAGGGAGATTGAAAAAAAGAGTTAAGATGTGTTATGTACATGGACAAATTTCCCCGTGATACATGTAATCCTCATGTAGTGCAAACGTGTTAGGAAAAAGTAACAACAACAACAAAGTAAGTTGGTTGAATATAAAATAGAATAGGAAGAAATAGATTTCACAATTTCAGTCAGGAAGTAGTGCTGTTCCAGGAAATGAAGTTGTTGATTCCACTGTACAACTCCTGAACAAGGTTCAAAAAAGTACTGTTGAATACCTCTAGACAATTAAATGTATCTTCTTCCTTTTTTATCTCTTCTTTCTTTTCCTCTGTACAACAACAAAAAAAGTTTTCATTATGTTGGGGAGCATGGGCTAAACAAGCTGAGGGAAATGTTTGCATAACATTTCTGTATGGAAATTAGCAATATGTGAAAACATGTAAGGGGATGTTTATTTAAATTAGCAATTCCACTTCTAGAAATTTTGCTCTATGCACATATTTAGGCATGTGAAAAATGCCCCACGTGTAGGAGTCATTGTAGCTTTGTATAACAAAAGACATGAAACAATTTTGATGGCCATAAATGAATGGGGATTTAAGTTATGAAGCGTTCCTATAATTAATAATAGTTACTGAAAAACTTAAGCAGATCTAGTGAATATATAATAATTTCCAATATAAGCCAGGCATGGTGGCACATGCTTGTAATCTGCATACTCTGCGAGGCTGAGGCAGGAGGATGATAAACTTAAGCCCAGCCTGGGCAATTTAGTGACTTAGTGAGAACATGTCTCTAAATAAATAAACAAGGCTGGGGATGGAGTTCAGTGTGAAGTCCTTGGGTTCAATCCCCAGTACCACCACACACACACACACACACACACACACACACCCCAAGATATATTGTTGAATGGAAAATAGATACAGCAAAATATATATAAAATATTTAAAATAAAATTTAGAAATATTTGTATTTGTGCTTATGTGTATATAAAATATTTCTAGAGATACACAAAATGTTTGTTATTGCACTGACAGTATATGAAAAAAGATCTATTTTGCACTAAATACACATCACTGCCAGTTTTTTTTACATTTAAAAATTAATACACATTAATTCAATTTAATTTAATTTTGGTACTAGAGATTGAACTCAGGACCTTGCACTCAGCTAATTGTACATATAATGGGATTCAATGTGATATTTCAGTACTTGCATGCAGTGTGAACTGATTAAATGATGGCAATTAGCATGTTTCTCTTCTTGTCATTTATTTTATGAGGAATCTTTGTGTACTATTCTTCTAGATCTTCATAATATTCATAAAAGCTTATTGTGAAGTGTAGTCAACTTCCTGTGCTGCCAAACTGGAACTTACTCCTTT